AATTTTCCCAGAGGAAAGAGGAACACTGAGTGGGATCACCCCTAAGGACTGGTATCAAGGGAGCAGTGCTCCTGCGACCGGGGTCTCTATTGTACCTCCCTGTTGCCTGCAAATATATAATATACATGCAGACTACTGAGAAAGGAACCCAATGGAGAAGGAGAAGCACTGGAATCGTCCTTCACCCCTGACATCACTGCAAGATGCAGCAGGTGGAGGTGATTCGTGTTTATCTCCAGCTGGGGAAGTGAGCGCTGCACTTACTGTTGTGTGTGGGGTGCTTGGACCCAGAACAGGGTGAGGAGAGTCATTTCTGTTGATCTAAGAGGGCACGTGTACATCCAGGAAACACTAAATCTGGAGCCTCTTGACCTGAGACTTTCTCTCAAGGGTTCAGGTCCCTATTACACATTCTTCTTCCTCATCCTTCAGCCTGACCTATTGGTCCAAGAATACAGTCCTCTGACCCAAGTTATTTTGTGTTGTGGGAACTTGACACTGGGATTCTGGGTGCTTGGACCTAACACCCTGCTGGCAGGGGCCTCTGGGACAGACCGTGAGCTCCTGCAGGGGGATCTGTCCTGCTTCCTCTCCTTCCTGAACTGTGTGGGTTTGGGACTTCTTTCCATCCTCTGACCTGGCCTGCATCTCTCCAGTGCATGCTCTAATGTGCTCACTTAGCCAAACTCAGTTTCTCTTGCTCAGACACAGGGCTCTCACCTGACACAGGGGTCACCGTGGAATGCATCATCTGCTCATTGAGCTGAATGGTCCAGTTCTAAGGGCTCAGAGGACGTGGGGGTGAACAATGAATGGTTGTGTCACTCAGCCTGTGAAACCCTGCCCGGGAGAAGTCTGTGCAGGATGGGAATTCTCCAGGAACTGATGAAGAATTGACAAGGAATGAACTCATATTTCTGAAGGTTGGGCAGGTGATGGCCATGACTGTTGATGTCTCCAGGAAGGAGTGGAAGGGCTGGTTGAAGCCTCGGGGTAACACTGGCTGAGAGGGAGTCAGAGGCACTGAGGAAAGTCTTCCGAGGGAGGTTTGGACAGAAGTGTGGAGAAGGCTCTGCAGCATGTGGGGAGGGACTTAGGAGACGTCCTGGGATCATTTCCAGGTCCCGGGTCTCTGGCTTCCTCCCCTGGGCTCCAGGAGTGGGAGACTGTTAGGTGCTCACATGCTCCACACGTGGAAACCCAGAGAGTTGGTGCCCCATGGAGCAGACCTGTGGGAGTGAGAGCAACACACAGATGCTCCCCTCTCCTCCCTGGAGAGGAGGAGCCTGAGGCAACCCATGAAGACTTCTCAGAAGGTCCAGGCAGGTGCAATCCCAGATGGGTGACCAGGTCAGAGCATTCCTTGGATGAACTTTCCCTCCTCCCCTGACCACTTCCCCCAGCCCCTCAGTCCTTCTCCTGGGGGTGAAGTGAGCCTGGCCTCCAGCTCTGCCCTCAGGGGACCCCAGGCCCCAGCAGAATACTTCGGTCTGCATGTTTTATTGAAAGCACATCCATTTGCCTGATGCACAGTGTGGTCAAGCAATACAAGAATGTCAGAGTTTGGAGCAGAACAAGTTTTATCACAGGGCCATGCAAGCAGAGAGGCGGCTCATGTGTTAAAAACCCCAAACTCCCCAAAAGCTCTCAACAAAGCCCTTTTATAGAAAAGTGAGGGGGGAGGGCCTGGTTAGTGTCTAACTTCTCCTGTCAGATTCTTGCTGTTGATATCAGGTCATGATGTTCCTATAATCCTCCAGCAAAGCAAATTCTCTGTTCTGACAAGAAAGGGCAAGGTCCCAAGGCTCAACTTTCACCATGAGGTTCAGGTCCTAGCTAAGAGAAGGCTTTCCCTGCGAGGGCTGGTTACCTTGCCAGGGACCCTTCCTCCAGCACTCAGGTCTAAGTCCTCTCGCCAGTACCCAAGCCCTGCTGAAAAGGCAGATCTCAGCCGCTCGTGCCCTTTAGTCTGCAGAGCCTGCTCAGTCGTTACCACTGAGGGAGCCAGGCACCCAGCATCGAGCCAGCCCTCAGGCTTCTAGTTTAACCTGGAGAGATCATTGTATAGGATCCATAGGAACACGTGTTGCAGCAAATGCCCTTCAGGTTAATCCCTGGCTCCCAACTGTTGCCCTTCTTAGAGGACAGCCCCCACCATAGAATGGACTTGAAGCAATGCTGTGCAATGTCCTTGCCACTTAACCCTGACCTCTGGCACCTCCTCGGGGTCGACAGCTGACCTCAGCTGGACCAGTTCTTGGAACTTGAATGGAGTGACTGAAGCTGGTTAAAGCTGTCACCTTAATGACGGTGACCAGTTACTCCAGTTGCTGAGGCCTCTGTGGAAGGGGACCCATGGAGACCTCCCCCACCTCAGGGCTCAGAGGTGGGGATTGGGGAGAGGTTCACTGTCTTCTCAAGGATGGGCCCGGCCAGTGAGTGGCCAAGCGAGGGCTCTGGAGCTCTGCAGGTCACTGTCCCCAGCCTGTCCCCCACCCTTCAGCTCACCTTCAGGCCTGAGGCTGGAAGGCCTGGAGGGCTGGGGAGAAGGTGGCCATCCCCCTCTTCTAACAGTCTACACTGTGAGGACACCACTGCCAGTCTGACTGTTGGAGGGAGGGATCTGCAACCACCCGCTCCTGGCCTCCTGCCGACAGTCTCCTCCTAACTGTCTCAAGCTAAAGGCAGCCTGGGTGAGGGATGTGCTGTCTCTCTGCCCCTCTGCTTACGGCTGACCCTCTCCCACACCTGCACACAAGCCCTCTGCTCTCAATCACCCTCGGGTGCCCCGTGTCCATCCTGGTCCCCGGGGCTGGAGGAGGAGTATCCCCGTGCTCAGCCCAAGTCAGACGACACGGGCTCCCCAGGGTGTCCCATGGGGCCTGGGGGCTCCAGGGTCTGAGGGAAATGACTGGATGGGAGCCCAGTGGGCAGGAAGGAGGAGCCGTGGAGGACGTGCTCCCTGAGACCCTGGAGACAGGCTCATGGGGAAGGAGGTCAGGCATCCAGAGCCCAGGTGAGCCTGTCAGTCAACACAAGGAAGCCTCAGTGAATCAGCTCATATTTACTGAACCAGAGTCTGGAGAACCCTAGGTGGGGAGAACCAGGCAGACCTGGAATATCTCGTCAAGCACCAACCCCACCTGAGGAAGAAATGGAGGCTCCAAGAGGCTGTGTCCGTCGGCCCCAGGCTGGTTGACTCCCTTGACTGACTGCAAAGTTCATGACCTGTTGCTGCCAACTGCTTTCATTTTTCTTTCTTTTTTCCTTATCAACCTCGGTTCTCAGGCAACATTTGGAATTTCGCGGGAACTTCACTGGTTTGTTGCTTCTCTCTGGACCCAAAGAGCCCCTGGCAACTTGTCAAGTGTTTTGTCCACTGTGTTGTCATCATCATCATTGCTGCTGCTTCCATCATTCCCACCTTCATTATTTAGGAGTCACTGCCTGAAGACCTACATAGATGTTTCTACAAAGACATGCAGGTGACCAGCAGGCACATGAACAGATGCTCAACCTCATTAATTATTAGGAAAGTGCAAAGCAAAACTACAATAAGGTATCAAGTCACACCAATCGGAGGGACCATTATCTAAATGTCTACAAATAATTAATGCTGGAGAAGATGTATAGAAAAGGGAACCCCCCTACACTGTTGGTGGGAATGTAAACTGGTACAGTCACTATAGGGGACAGTATGGAGGTTTCTCAAAAAACTAAAAATAGTTATCAGATGATCCAGCAATCCCACTTCAGGGTAAATATCTGGCAAGGGGAAAGCTCAAATTTGAAAAGATACACGCACACAAATGTCCATAGAACACTATTGACAATAGCCTAGACATGGAAGTAACCTAAATGTCCATCGGCAGATGAATGGGTAAAGGCAATGTGGTACATATATACAATAGAATATTACTTAGCCATAAAAAGAATGAAATAATGCCCTTTGTAGCAACACGTATGGATTCAGAGCTGATGATACTGAGTGAAGTAAGTCAGACAAAGACAAATATATGAAATCACTTATTAGTGGAATGTTAAAAATACTAAGGGAATTCCCTGGTGGTCTTTTGGTTAGGATTTGGTGTTTTCACAACTGTGGCCCAGGTTCATCCCTGGTTGAGAAAACTGAGAGCTCACAAATGGCTTAGCATGGCCAAAAGGGAAAAAAAAAAAAAAGAGTTCAAATGAACTTGTTTACAAAACAGAAATACTTACAGAAAGCAAGCTTATTGTTACCAAAGTGGGGAGTGATAGGTTAGTATGGGATTAACTGATGCATACTACCATACATAAAATAAACAACAAGGACCTGCTATATACTACAGGGGATGGTATTCAAAATTTTTAACCTGTGATGGAAAAAAATTAAAAAGAATATAGATATATACTTAAATATGTGTACAACTGAATCACTTTGCTGTATACCCAAGACTAACAGAATGTTGCAAATCAACTTTGCTTTAATAAAAAAACAAAAAAGAGTAGTCACTGCCTAATTAAGATAAGCCTGCTGGGATCAAAGGTGAGTTGATGCCGGAGAAGGAGGGCTAGAGACCATCACCAGGAGGAAACTCTTTGCTGGGGCATCAGACCCTGGGGAAGGCGATAGAGGAGCCCTTGCTACTTCTCCTGGATCCCAGCAGTCCTAACTCTTGGGGTTTTCTCCATTTTCAACCCTTCTCTATTCCTGGTCTCTCATTGCTAGTTCCTGTGCCCCTCCTGTTATTCTTCCCCTCCTGTGTCTTCTTTAGTCCTAAATAAGTGGTTTCTCCCCATACCCGCACCCCCCAGTTCAGGCTCCTTCCTACTCTCTCTCCATCTACCACCCGCATGCATCCCTCCCCTGCTGTGCTCAGCTTCAGAAACACCAAATTCCTAAAACTCAGCTCCACCAATTTTATTTTGCAATCTTACCCTCTAGCAAGTTGCCTTTGGGGCTTGGCCACTCACGTGTTCCTGGTCCCTGCACTGCTCTGGGGTGTCCGAATTGGGGCCTACTTCAGACGCTCATAGATCTGGGTGAGCACCTCCAAATTCATCTCCAGCTTCTGGGCTTGTTCCCTCAGTCTCTCAGCAGATTCTGTCTTTGCCCTACCCTGCAAGTCCTGTGAATCTTTCACCAGGGACCATATGTTGAATGGGAGGAACAAACCTGCAGAGACTCCACCACAAATGCGGGCTCTTCTGGTCATTGCAAGAGCCATGCCTCCAAAAGCTGCTCTCACTGGCTGGGTGCTTCGGCCACAGACTTGCCCAGCTACTAACTGAGGGTTGCTTTTGGCCATCCTGATGGCACGGATATGCTTCCTAAAATCTTTTGCTTCATAGAGGCTTTTCCCACTGGAAATCTTCTGGGCTATGCTGTGGAAATCAAGTTGGGCTTCTACTGATGACGTGTTTACGAGTTCCACGATGCTGGTGGACACACCTGTCACAGCAGCTGCTGCTCCCAGCCCTAATCCAGTGGCTGAGAGTCCCAGACTGATGCCCGCTGTAAAGGGTTCCAGAGCCAGGCCAAGGATGGTCAGGATGCCAGATGCAATGTTGGTGGAACTGGCTACCACATTGGAGATGGTACAGTCCCTGTGCACCTTGTCAACATTGTCTGCGCATTCACGCAACTTTTTTATGCTCTTCTCCAGCTTCCGTTTAATCTGGGGAAACTCTTCTAAAAACCTCTTCTTGTCTGGCTGGTCCAGATATTCATGCAGTACAACTGCTTCTTCCCTATAACAATGAACATCAAAGGATGAAGAAAGACAATTTGCTTGTCTGTAAAATCGGCTCAACAAGATCAACCTTGCATAAAACAGAGATTATGAATTAAGTGGAAAATTTGTTGTATAAATTAAATGAAAATAATTTTGCAAATTAAAAAAAAATTCAACATTGAACCCATGTTTCGACATTGTTGATGCTCCATGTACTTATTGAATCATGGAAAAAATAACTAAAGAATCCTAGGATACTATTGACTTCAGAGAGGCATTTGACAAAGACGTCTCAGAGTCAGGTTAACACCAACACTTACAAAGAGCTGGTAGAGTGGGAACTCCACAGATAAACTAAGAGAAGTGGGGTTAGAGCAGAAAACCTTCACTGAAGGGCCTCAGCATGTGGTGAGGAGTCAACCTGTTCTTTGCCCTTGGCTATTGGGAAGTGGTTCCTAAGCCCCTAGATTAGTCTGGCCGATGCTAGTGTCCTCATCTGCCTGGGCCTTTGGCCACTGGGCAGTCTGGCAAAGTGACGTAATGGGGTCTTGTGTCACGTGGTATCAGTTCGGACCTCTGGAGGAGCTGGACTCTAGGACACTTGTCTGACCTCAGGGAGGGGCTGGAGATGACAAGTCACGGTAATTTGTTTTTAAACAGGGTGAGCATTCCTGGTGAGCAGTGCTCTATGTGTCTGTCCTGCCACACACTGAATTCGGGAAAGTAACTCATCCTGAGGACAATGGAAGCTTCGTGTGTGAAACCCGCCCAGACTGCCCTGTGGCTGATGGGAACCTGAATCCTGTCCTGTCCTTTCAGTGATCCTGGAGCATCCTTCTAGGGAAAACTCGAACCTGAGGGTGGTTTTTTTGGACCCCAGAAATTGACTGTTGGTGTCAAACATAAGGACAGTCTGGGGGACTGTGCCCTCTGATTTTGCAGACTGGTTACTTCAGTGTATGGAGAATTTTTTTAAAATCAAAACTTAGAGCTAGAAGGACCTTTAATGATCATTTTGGTTGGCATCTGCTCTCCCCTAAGCCTGATAACCTTGGATTTCACAGAAGGTCACTGAGTCCACCCACAGCCCCAACTGACAGGGAAGCAGGAGATGCGCTCTGAGCCCTGGTTCCCCATGGCTCTCCAGCCCACCTCACTGACTCCTGACCCATCACCCAGCTCCCTGACCTCTCAGGGGTCACCAGCTTGCCACCTTAGCTGTAACTTGTCCTGAGCACAATGGAAGCTTTGTGTGTGAAACCCGTCCTGATTCTGTCCTGTGGCTGATGGGAACCTGAATCCTGCTCTGCATTAACTGTAACTGGAATTCTGACATCTTTCGTGCTCAGCACCCCTGACCTCGCAGGTGTCACCAGTCTAACTCACACTATACTTGTGACAGCTTCACCGGACTGCACCCCAGGCTGTGTGCAACTTTGTGGAACCTCTAAAGATTCAAGAGACTTGAGGAAACACCCATCTGAACGGCTGAGCCTGAGGAGACCTGCACTTGCACAGCTGGTGGAGGAAATGTTTTCTCTTGGGTGGGGATGCGTGAGGCTCCTCAGAATCCCTCAAATGACACACAATCGCAGCCACTCACTGTGACCCTGGAGGGCCCCCTGAGCCACACGGCCTTCCACTGTCAGGGCAGCTGCATGTAGACTAGAAGAGGGTCCCAGATGGAGGGAGAACCCAGGTCCCAGGCAGAGTGTGCAGTCAGGGTCACCCAGGGCCCTCTAGCCCAGCGTGAGGGGATCCCGTCAGGGAGGGAAGAAATGTCCCCCCTCCCACTCAGGGGACCTCTGCTAGGGTCACAGCCCCTTCCGTTTGTGTCCTTGAGGCCCACTTTCCTCACTCTAGTCCTGGCCCTTCTGCCCAAGCCTGCCTACTAGTCCTCCAACTTGGACCCTCTGCTCCACCCTGACCATGGGTCTGACCTTGGTCCAGGCCTCCCTGGGCCTTATGACTGCACTTGGTTCCCCACCTCTGACCTGCAGTTCACTCTGAGGCCATCACCACAATCCATTAGATTGAATTGCTTTTCCCACTGGACACAGGACAGATCTGAGGCTCCAAGAAATAAAGCCAGAGCCCCAGAGCTGGGCAGGACTAGAGCCAGGACCCCACCAGCTCCACTCAGTTCCTCTCCAGCCTTTCTGTCTTATTGGCCAGCAGGATCCTGCAGGGTTGTTACAGTTCCTAAACAAAGAGCTCAAGTCAGAATCCCTGGGAATGCAAAATGATGTTGATGTCAGGATTTCCTGACTTTTCACAAAGGAAGTTCTACTTGCTTCTCATCTCCTGGAAGAAGGCCATTGGCCCCTGATTCTTCCCAACAAGATTATTTTAAAAGTTAATATTAACTGAGCACATACTCTGTGTCAGCCATGATGCAAGACATTTTGTACGCACAATCTCAGTGTCCTCTGAATAAAACTGAAGTGATGAAGAAAGTAACGGCAAGTAGATCAGTAACTTGTCCAAGGCCACATAACCTGCTCCTTCCTTACAGGTTTCATCTCTTCTTAGTCCGAGGCCATTCACTGGCAGCGAATGACATGGAGGAAACATTCTTCATGGATTCTTGAGAAGAAACGTCCTCAACCCCACCACACCATAGGATCCTACCAGGAGGAGGTGTGCCTGCCAGGAGGAAACCAGCCTGGGGCCTGAGGATCTGGGTGACCTTCCTGGTGCACCTGTGCAGTTTACCTGGACAAATTGACCTCGGCCACAAAACTCTCCCAGGCTTCGTCTTGAGCAAGCAGTTGTTGTTGCAGTTTAAGCAAAAATATTCTGAGTGCTGGACATAAAAAAAGAAAATTGGAGAAATTATGGGGGAAGGTAAATGGTACTGAGGATCAAATGATTAAAGTTCATCTTTCTGAGCAGCAATGACCTGGGGTACTCTTGGTGGAATCACCTGGGGTTACAGATGGAACTGTTTTCCCCCCACCCCTCAATTCATGTTGAAGATTTAACCCCCTGGTGAATGTATTTGAAGATAGGGCCTTTAAGGAGGTAATTATGGTAAAATGAGGCCATAAGTAAGGGGGCCTAATCCACCAATCCTAAGACTGGTGTCCTTATTAGAAGAGACTCCAGATCTTTCTCCCTTTCCTTCTGTCTTTCCTGCAACATGAAGTGTTCTTAGTTTTCGTCTTTTTCCCGGGTCACTAAGGGAGAAAGGAACCTAGGGCTCACATGGAGGGAAGCCAGAACACTAAATCTGTGTATTGATTGATTGGGGAGGGGGTGGGCAGGGGTAATAACTGAGCACCTGGGGATCTGCAGGGGTATTTGAGGTCAAAAGGACCTGCATGACGCAATCACTTGGTAAGCAGGTGCTTATATATGGGAGCACTGTACAGGTGCCCTAACACAGCTAGGGGAAGGAGTGATTCTGGGGGAGGGGAGAAATTTCCACCTGGAACTAACATATTCTAGGTAGAGGGGACAGCACCACACCTCAGCAGAACCTACTGTGTGGCAGGCACTGGCCCAAGCCATGAACACACATTACATTTCATCCTCATAATAATAAAGGGATATATTATTCTCATTTTATAGATGAGATCAGATAGCTGTGCTCCAGGTCACACAGGTGCGAGGCAGAAAAGACCAGATGGGGGTTCAGTTCAGGATCCACTGACCCTCGCAGAGCAGCTGTGTGGGTGGCAGGGCAAGGGCTGGAGGAAAGGCCTCTGTGTTGACGCCCCAGGGTCTGGGAGCAGGAGGAGGCAGGGCCAGGGAGAGGGCAGGAGGAGCTCCAGGGACCCTGGGGGACCTCCTCTCGCTGCCCCATCTGGCCCTGGGGACTCTCTCTGCTGTCCCCCTCCCCATGAGCTGTCCTGGCCTCACTTCTGAGTCACCTGCTAGAGGGCAGTGGGGGAGGAAGCGATCACTTTGCAAGTGGCTCCCCAAGGAGAGGGCTGGGAAAGAGGATCTGTGGACACCCCCCATTGGGGGAACTTCATGTGTCCCCTCTGGGGGGCTCCAGGATGCATATCCATCCCCTTCTTGGTTCTTGATTCCTCTGTATGTTCACTCTGCCTGGAGCCACCACCCTCAATTCTAGGTCACAAGTAGGAACCGTCCAGAGAAGAGGCAGCCGATTACCTGAGGGGTAGATGTTAAAGCTCATGGTGGCAGCAGCAGGGTTTCAGCGATGTCCCTTCAGCTCTTTGTCTGAATCAGGTGTGGCTTCACCCTTGGGGATGAGAAAACGGGTTGTGGGCTCCATCAGCAGTGAACAGGGGCTGCAGGGAGCAGTGAGGAGGAATGTCTCTGGTGGGTTCCCCTGGGATGGCCGCCAGCGCCGCCAGGGACTTAACCCAGCGTGGTTCTCTGTCCCCTGGGCTCTGCTGGCCACTAGTTAAGGAAAGCTACTCATCTCCCACCAGCTGTCTCCAAGTCAGAGTCCTAGTCTCCTGTTGGGGCACAAGGAGAAGGTAATCAGAGAGGTGACAGCCATCTATGAAGTCATAGGAGCAATAAAATCAAAGACAAGAACCGATAGGAAGGAATACTCTGGAAATTCCATGAGGTTGGGAACATTTTCTTTATTCTTCGGTAATAACTAGTACTGATTCAGAGTCTATGACATGCAGGCTCCTGAAATTCACCTAAACTTCAGTTAGTCCAAGTTTTCATGCTGGTGCCAGAACCTGGACTTGAGCTAAAGCCTTTCTCATCCAAATGCCAGGTTTGTGATGACTATGCTCTACTCCCTTTAATGTGGGCTTCCCAGGTGACCCAGTAGTAAACAATCTGCTTGCCAATGCAGAAGATGCAAGAGACTCAGATTGGATACGTGAGTTGAGAACTCAGATCCCCTGGAGGAGGAATTGGAACCCACTCCAGTATTCTTGCCTGGACAGAGGAGCCTGGTGGGCTACAGTCCACAGTTCACAAAAAGGGACTGAGCTCGCACTCCCTTT